AACATCCACTCGCGTTATCGGAGACCTCCCGCATAATGAATAATTCCATATACCTGGAAACGTGACGTATCGCTACCGGCGTCCTGCTTCCCGGCTGCTGGAGTCCTCCGGATTTCATTCGCTCACGCTTCTAATGCCGATACTCGCGATTCGACCGTGCAGTTAATCAACGCGATGCCGACGCGATGCCGATTAAGTATCTCGAGGACCGACGAGATACATTTCTTTCAATAACACGAGACGGAAGTGACGAGCGCGTCCCGCACGACTGCTGCTGGTGGAATGAGATCGAGTACGCGAAGCGCTAGGATTAATACGAAGGGCAAAAAGTGTCGTCGCTCGCGAGCCGATCAACACAATCGGCGCGATATAAACATTGCAGGCCTCAGCGGCGGTTGAAACAAGAGAGACTTGCCCTTGGGCGCCTCTTCTTTTCTCGAAGGTTCCGGAACGACGAGAGGAATGCGAGAAGGCCTTTCAATTGTACGCGACATTGATTTACTATTTATTGATTACTGAAAATAAAGAAAAATACTCTGTCGAAGCATTGGACATTTGTTAGCTTTATGTTAATTAGAGAAGAATGTGTACGATTAGAAAATGTGTTAGCAACTAATTGTACAGAGTGTCAAAGTTGTTGTGACGTCGTTTTCGGAGAATAATTAAAGGTCATGGTAGCGTTAAAGAGTGGAATTTCATCCCATGCGAATTTTGTCTTGTTCTTATTAAATGTTAGATTATCCGCTGCTGACAATAACTCTTCTACTTTTCATCTAATATTCAATGATGATAAATAACACTTAATTGCTTTCGTTTGGCTTTTTTTATTTCGAAAATAAAAAAATATATACCAGGGCGAAATTCCATCCATGACAATATCAACGTGTTTTCTTTGATGCTTTTTTTAAAAGTTCAGATATTTCGTCTACTCGCGGGATATTTATAATCGGAGTCTCGTCGCGTTAATTAACACGTGCTCCTCCGAGCGGATCGAATGCTCACCGACGGCCACTGTCAGTGCCACGAGCGAATGTTCGAAGAGGACGGGATGTTGAATTGAAAAGCAGAACGAAGAATGTGACGCGGGCAACGATACATCATGCGTCTCCAGACGTGTCAAATCGTTTATTATGCAGGAGACTTTGATACGGCATTCGAAGATTTAATATTTAATACGTACTTTTATTTTTCTGCTCCTCCCCTCCTCTCCCCCGCTCTTTTTAGACCTCCGGGCATAGTCTGGCATAGAGATAGCAATTGTGGTTGCAGCACGGACATAAACCGTCTGAAAGTGGATGTAGCACGAACTTCCACTACATGCAGATTTTACCATCGAGACCTAAAAGTGGATGTAACATCGTAATTCCTCTCTCAAAATGGATGCAGATGGCGCTCTTTCCCAGAGCGGAAAGTCGGTGTCGCAAAAAATGCCGTGTTGGCCGCTTTCAGGTTTCTCTCTGGTTAAAGTGAGAGAAAGTATAGTTGTTTCATTCTAACTTATTGCACTAGCTCCGCAGTGCAGCTAGAAAGAACAGACCAATAGTGTGCACACATTTTTTCAGGGACTGTATCGACAGTTGTCGATGTCGTTAGCGGCATTGCGTAGGTTTTTCATATAACAAAATTGCTGCGCAATACTGCTAACGACACTGACAACTATCGGTACGCGAGTACGGAATACTAGCCCCAGTGGTGCGATTCTGTAACTTGTTATTGGAGTTAACGACAGTTTCGTTATTGTTGCGCAGCTTTTCTACGGTATACAAAAGCTGCGCAACGATAACGAAAATGTCGTTAACTCCAATAACGAGTTACAGAATCGCGGTATAGGAGGCGCGACGGAATTCGGTGGAAAAAACATTCCAGAGTAATCGGCCCGGTGGCCGCTCTCAGGTTTCTCTCTGATGATATGTTCATAACAAACATAGTTTACTCGTACTTTCTCAGAGGGCGTGTCGAAAAACGCATCTTTTGAAACCCAAATGGGTTGCTCTTGGGTTTCTGCTCTAAAACAAATACTTCAGTGCACGTGCTGTATACAAGTGTGGAAAGTTTATTTGGACATTGCAAGTACAAAATTATGTTCAAGTTGCATCGACTGCACGTCAGTATAAGAAAACTACTTATTTATTATATTTATTAAACCACTATATATATATATATATATTCATCCCATTTCATCACATTTCAACAGAACGGTATTTATAACATGTTAAGACAGTATTTGTGTTTAAAACTAACAGATAAATAATATTCATTATTTATGAAAGTTATCTTCGTTTCTATTTTTCATTTATTCATGAAACATTGATAAGTGAACTGATAAGTGCGATTTAAAGCATGCTGTCTAATGAGTTTTAAAATTGGTAATAAGATTTGAGGCTCGTCACACGAGTTTTATGTTAATTGGTCATTTCCTAAGGTATATTAATTGAGGAGACATTGCAAGATGGAAGAAGAATACCAAAACGAAATAGATATTGTGAAAAAGGTCACGGAACCGATATTCACAGTTCCAAACCAAAGTGTATACCAACAGACTTCTCCGCCAGTGGCCTCCTCCACTCGTGAATGGAAGTATATGAAATTGCTAAGTGTCATACAGGAACTTGGCTATCATATTAAACCCTTTTATGGTGGTAGACGCAATGAGGGGGAAGAAGTTAAAACTTGTATAACAAACGCACGTAGTTTAATCAAGGATTGTTTACTTGAAACTCAGTCCAATGTGATTCAGAAAAACAAAGAAAACCAATAAGCATCGTACTGTCAGTAACTCTGCAGTTTTTATATTTATATACGCAATAACAACTATATATTTTTAAAGTATACGAAACATCATGTTAGCGTACAAAAGAATATATTCCAATAATACTTGTCCTACCTCAAGTTTTGATCAGCATGTGGAATATTAAATTATTTTAACTTATTATCATTATAGAATATTAGTTGGAATCATAACCAAAGTATTGTTTTTAATCAAATCTGAAGAAATTATAATTGATTATTCTTTTCCAAGAATTTTATTTTCAAAAGTATTGAATATATTTTTTTTATTTTATAGTTGTTTGCAACAATTGAATAAATTGCACTGAAATGGAATTAAGATAGGTTTGTCTCACAATGATATTATTGAAAAGTTTAATTTTACAATAGAAAAAAAGTCAAATAATCTTAAGTAATACATATGAAAGAACACATACATTAAAATACACCACACTTTATTAACTTAGGATGGGAAAAAAAATTCAGTTATATCTTAAGAGATTATAATGAATTGATTTTCTTGCTTTTAGTAATGCAAACTTTTGGTTAAAATTGTTCTATTACACACATGTACATGCAAAAGTTGTTTATTCTGATGTGTGTCTATCTTTGAATCCTTTTGTTAGAATGTTTTTTGTTTTCATATTTACTCCAAGTATTAACCCTTTTTGTAGGAGTTTTAATATTATCATCATGCAATAAATTTAAATTGGTTGGAAAATGTATGACAATCACCGATAAACATTATGAAAGCCTCTAGAAATTCATAAGTGGAAATATTTCAAATTATACAATCATATGTTCTTGTGTAATCACATAAGAACTTGCGACAATTACCTGTAAATGTGGCCTTTGTATCGTCACTGTTCTTATTGCCAAAAATAGATGCATTTTCAAATGCCATATTTATTTCATGCTTTAAAATAGTGTGTTTCTTCGTACTCATCTTAAAAATTTTTAAATGACCATTAAATCTGTTACATAGTACACATAGAAGCCAAAATCTTTTGTTAGAAAATGGGTTCAATGCTATTCTAAAAGAAATACTGTTAATAGTTTGCCAAAACATGATACTTTTAGAGCAACTACAAAGAAACAAGATAACGCTATTATTAAACTATTTCTAAAACATTTGGACTTAACTTTGTGTAAAATGAAATTTAAATTTTAAGGAAACATGTCAGTGTAAACTAATTATAACTATCAAATGATGCTTAGAGGAATCAGATATCAAATGTGACATGCAATTTATCCTTTTTCATAATTCTGTCAACATTTTAATTCCACAGTTATTGTTTGAGCAAAAGAGAAATATTTGAATTATTTTACAAATTTGTCCGATTGATTGCAAATGTCATTTGGTGAACATATCTATGTGTTTCGACACATTTTGCAAGAGTTTAAAGTGTGTTTCTATTCTCATAAATCAAGAAGATTGCAGCGAGGAAACAGGAACTTCAAATATCCAATATAACTGCATGTTTGAAGTTGCTTCAATACTTGCGGTTTCAGTTGCAGTGTTTATACTTGTTTACACGCTCATAAAATTAAATCCATCAATATTTATAAAAAATATCTCTAAGGTCTAGAAACAGATAGTTTGATGAAACATGGCAGTGAAGTAAAGAATGGCTAAGAGAATAACTATCTAAATTTTGCTAATGTATTAATTGGAAAATAGAAAATCATATTGATGTCTTAGATTAGCTATTCCAGTCACGCAATGTAGAAAATATTTAGGCCTTGGAGTAAAATATGTATACTTAAGATTATTGTATTTTCACATTGTACTGAGAATACTGTATTTTCACAAAAGATATAACACGTTGAAAGGATATAGTTGTTAATATCAAATATTGAAAATCTAGTTGAAAGTATGCAGTAACCCTGCCACTGCAATAATTAGTAATAATGGGGATTGGATTTCATATTAGGTATGAGCATAAAAGTGTATCCTACCTCTCATTCCGTACAATGGATGTTTTAGATTCCACAAAGTATTTTCATTTCCAGCCAACGATATATGAGTAATAAATGAGACTCTTCTGTGACAGACTGTATGTATGCCATAAAAATAACTGCCTCAAAATAATTGCAGCAACCAGTGTAGTTGCTTTTTATATTATTATTTGATTCCAACAACGAAGCCATCATACATACATGGATGGGATTAATATAAATTATAAACTTTTATATTTATTTTAAAACTTAGATTACGATAATTTCAATTTATGTGTGTATATACACACACATACATACACATACATATAATATCCGCTTATTGATTCTTAATATCATATATAGCAATTCTTCATTAACACCCTAAATATAATTTGTTACATAAACTTATAAACGAAACGCTAAACTCAGTGAGATATAGGATAGAAAATTGTTAAAAGTCTCTGTTTTAAGTACAAACATCTCTTTTCAAATGGCCAAACTGTTCCTAATTATATGAACAATCAGATAACATCTCAATAGATACACAAAGTTACAGCAAATCCGTAAAAAATTTCTTACACGAGACAACTACTTCAAAAGGACGATTTTGATCTTTCTCTTTATTTTTAAATAAAATAAATTACTTAATATTCTATGTGCCAAAGCGTACGTCAATAAGCAGTATTATTATCTAGCTCAAACTTTGCCTGATAGCATTATTATGACTGAGATATTTATACCTTTTAGTTTTTTATAATTATTAACCGAATGTGAAATATATATATGTGCGTATGTGTAAAGTGTAATGTGTGCGAAGAAATATTGTATATCTATTACAATTAAAACCTTAATATATCGACAACTATAGTACAAATGTGGCTTTCTAAGATTGTCATTAATTCTAATCGCGGAAACAAAAGTAATTTTATAAAAGAGTTTGTACAAATGGACACGCAGTTAGACATATAGTTTTACAATTTGTTAACGTACTAAATAACGATTGTACAAGTCCAACTAAAGTAGGAGACAAATTTGTACCAGAAGATTGTAATGTAAGAACAGTATTAAGTTGTTTTTTTTTTTCTTTTTTATATCGGACATTGTAATATATTTATAGTCCAATAAAACGTTTCTATCGAAAAAGAAGCATATGTTCCTTTGGATAAGGCATCTGTTACGATTACAATTACGACCGCGGCAGCAAAACTTTTTGCAGAAGAAAAGTCGAAACTCCTCTCTTGTTTCAGATAACTCTCGAAGAATGGCGATAGCTTTTCGCACTTTGGACACGTTTGACACGGAATTTTCGGCGGACTCTGCAGAATGGTGTCCCGTAGAGCCGTTCCGGGACATCCTGGTGTGCGGGACGTATCAGTTGGCCAAGGAGGACGAGAACGCCATGACGAGGAGTAATGACACGTCGAAACGACTCGGAAGAATCTACACGTTCCGTGTGATGGACTGCGAAAAATTAAGAATGTTGCAACGAGTAGACGTCCCAGCCGTATTGGACATGAAGTGGCTACACTGCCCGGACAAGGAGAACAGAATCTTGCTCGCAGTTGTCAATTCCACTGGATGTTTGCAGATATATCGTCTAGAGGATGATGGAGGCGTCGCGACGTTAGAATTACTCGTAGAAGGAAAAATAAGCGATAGCGACGACGAGATCTTGGCGTTGTCTTTGGATTGGTCCACAGGCAGATGTATTTCTCATACTTGTGTCGCAGATAATATACATATCATCGTCAGCGACTCTCGAGGATGGATATCACGTTTCACATTGCATAAGAATGACTTGACGAGAGACTTCTCGTGGCGAGCGCACGACTTCGAGGCGTGGATCGCAGCGTTCGACTACTGGCAAACGAATTCCTTCTACTCTGGTACAATAACGTACAGTTTATAGTTGTGCGGGATCAGGGTTAGGTAATAACTAGTTAATCATTAAAATGGAAACCCCTATTTTTTATTACATATTCTTGTAGCTTATCTCGAGAGCTTTCTGAAACACTATAATAAAGTTACGTTTCATTGAGTACTTTCCGAGTTATGAGGTTTGAAAGTTAAGGCAAGACCGATCACTGATCCGGCCAACTAAAGCAAAACCGATCATTAATCCGGCCAACTAAGGCAAGATCGATCACTGATCCGGCCAACTAAGGCAAGACCGATCACTGATCCGGCCAACTAAGGCAAGATCATTCGAATATGTCTTTAGCCTTGATAAGTCTTGCCTTATCTTGGCCAGATCAGTGATTAGTCTTGCCTTAGTTGGCCGGATCAGTGATCGGCCTTGCCTTAACTTTCAAGTCACACCTCATAACTCGGAAAGTACTCAATGAAACGTAACTTTATTATAGTGTTTTGGAAAGCTCTCGAGATAAGCTACAAGAATATATAATAAAAAAATAAGGGTTTCCATTTAAAAAAACATTAATGACTTTGACTTGATTTTAACAAAGTCACTTAAGGTCAAGTTCACATTTCTATCATGTATCAAGACAGCGATATCATTTTGTTTATAGATAGCATTACTTTCAAGATATTTATTGATTATTACTTTTCTTAAATAGAAATCTCAATTTTTATATCAATTATATTATCTTTTTCTACCAATTAATTTGAACAACTTTTGTCTGAAACATTTTTTCATTTGCTTTATATTTTTTGAGATATTTAACCCATTAACGCCGAAATGTCCAAAATTTTTTGTTCATATTCAAGCTTTGTGCTTATTAAGTAAAACGTGAGCGATTTATATGTAACTTTATTTCCTAGTGTTTTTGGGTTTGCTCTTTCGAATGGCGGCGTCAAAATTGAGCTATCTGTATTAGCAATATAAATATGGCGGTTTAAACAAAAAAACACGGAAAATACATTTTTTTAACGATTTATTTCACATCGAAATAGTATAGGTAACTGAAGACCAAGTGCACCAAAGGGGGACAAAATAGTTGTATTTTGAAAATCTAACCCGCAAAATTGTCATATAAAAGATGGGGGCATTAAAAACGGCGGCTGAAGCAAAACCTAAAATATTTCATTTTTTTACCGTATTGGTAAAAAAAGATAATATAATAAAAAATTGGGATTTTCATTTAAGAAACTTGATGATCAGTGAATATCTCGAAAGTGGTACCATCTATAAACAAGATGCTATCGTTGTCTTATGTCCCCTTTCAAGTCAAACAACTTTTGTCTGAAACATTTTTCGATTTTACGCAGTATTTCTGAGATATTTGAGTGGATGCTTTAAAATGAGATTCCTATATACAGGAGTTAATATATTTCTTTAATCGAGCAAAATTTGAAGTTAAGGACTTATAAAATTAATTTAAACTTACTCAACTCTGTGCAAGATACATATTCGCTCCAGCCCCGTTCAATTTGTCTACTCTTCTCAGACAGAAACATATGTCTAATGTATCATGAAATTTCAGGAGGTGACGATTGCAAGTTTCAAGTCTTCGATAGTAGAACAGGACCTAATCCTGTGGCGTGTAACAGAACGCATGACGCCGGTGTAACTAGCATCCACAGCAACATTAATGCAGAATTCACACTCGCAACTGGAAGGTGAAACAATGTTTGAGCATATTAAGTTTAAGATCTATATTAACAATCGTCACTTGAAGCTTGTCTCAAATGAGCTGGGCTTCAAAATTCAAACCCGTCTTAATAATCGTTATATGAAACTTGTCTCAAGTGAACACGCTTGAATTGAAAATTAGACGTTTCTCGGTTGAATCTCAGTTGCAAATATTGGTTGAATTTTTTTATTCATCAATTGGTCCATCACGTGAAGCAATACAGCATTTTATTTTATTCATCGATGAATTATTAAGTGTACAAATAAGTTTTAAAGCGTTTTTGTGTGACATATATTGCTAGGTTCAGCACAAATCAGAAATTCTCCCGCGGTTTTGTCACGTGACTGTAACCAGTCCAGAGTAATCAAAACGACGCAGAAGTTGGCTCAGCATTCAAACGTTCTTAAACGTTGATATGTGAAAGATGGCAAGCGACAAAGCATTTGTTCGTCACTGCATTCGTTACGAATTTCACTAAGAGAAAAGTGCTGCAAAAGCATGTGCATCGACATGTTCTGTTCTTAGGGAGAATATTGTATCGAAAAGCACGTGTGAATTTTGGTTCAGGCGATTTAAAGCTAGTGATTTTGAGGTTAACGATCGAGAATATAGTGGCGCCCCGCAGAAGGTTGAACATGAGCAATTACAAGCATTACTGGATGAAGACTGCGCGCAAACGCAAAAAGAACTTGCTGAACAAGTGGGAATAATTCAACAAACTATTTCTAATCGTCTACACGCAATGGGAAAGATTCATAAAGAAGGAAAATGGGTGCCACATGAACTGAGTCAGAGGAACAAAGATAAGCGTGTCATGAAGTATTTGAATCTGTTAAACAACGTAGGAAGTCTTTTCTGTGGAAAATTGTGACAGGCGGTGAGAAGTGGATATGGTTCGATAATTTCAAACGCAAAAAATACTGGGTAGATCCCGGTCAAGCAACGACATCAACACCGAAGCGCAATATTCACTCGAAGAAAGTTTTGTTATGCATGTGGTGGGATATCAAGGGTGTGCTGTATTATGATCTCTTGCAACCGGGTGAAACTATTACTGCTGATCGCTACAAGCAACAATTGCTGCGATTGAACGAGGAAATCAGTCGAAAACGTCCATTTACTGGCAAAGGTTTGCGCCCCGTTAAATTGTTCCATGATAACGCCAGACCGCATGTTGCGAAATCGGTCAAGGAAACGTTATTGACGCTTGGCTAGGAAGTTTTGAAGCATCCGGCGTACAGTCCCGACATAGCCCCTTCAGACTATCACTTGTTTCGATCCATGCAAAATGCTTTGTCTTCAGTTCACTTCCGAACATTTGACGAACTGCAAAAATGGGTTGACGATTTTATCATGTCGCACGACGAATACTTCTTTACTGCTGGAATCCATCAGCTGCCTGACCGATGGCAGAAGATGATAGATAACAACGGCGCATATTTTGATTAATAAATGTATTGTTCTTTTCTCAAATATGTTTTGCATTGTCTTAAAAACGCTTTAAAAACTTATTTGTACACCAATACATCAATGTGTTCTTATTTACAGCACTAAACTCACATATCCATCAGATCCATCAACTGATTTTGTTGATGGACAGATGAAATTTTTGATTGAACATGATGGGCATAATTTCCTAACTTAAAAATGTTAACATTTATGTGTGATTATTATATGAAAACACTACTAAATTATAACTTAATACGTTCGCGACAATCAATAAATCCATTGGTTCACTCTAAAGGACGCACAATTTATTTTTTAATATATTGCTTCTTTACGTTTGTTTTATAACAAAAGGCTTTGCTTTCATCTTATTCAATGAATTTTCAGCCATTTTACTGATTTTTGAAGGTGCATCACCAGTGGATCATGACGGCTTTTCAGAAGCAGTGCAATGCTTCATAGTATGTGATCCACCGGTGGACACGTCTATTAATATAAACCAGTGTGACCCACCAGTGGGTCATGATGTCGCGAACGTGTTAATTAAAAAAAGTGTAAAGATGAATCTTCTGATTCTTCTCTTGATACTTTATCTTTGACAAGTAACGACAGTGACAGTAATACAGATTTATTATTAATTAAACGTGTACGTGTAAAATACAAAAATTGATAACTGCATTAAAAATAATGCTATTGTATTTAAATGTAGACTTTAAAGCACATTTTCGATTATCTAGAATTTCAGTTGAAATATAAGCTAAGTATATTCTGATTATAAATACAAACAATATATATTATATAAAAATAATATGTATATAACAAACAAAATATTTATTTTTAATGCTAATTTCTAATGCTAATTTTGTATAATTTACAAAATCTGGGTTTCAGAATTATATGTACATATAAATATTTAATTGTTGATATTTACGAATCAAGTATATATATTTATTATTGACTTTAATCGAATCCGTTCATAAAACTATTCTTAAAAATATGCCATCAAACATCCATCAGCGACGTCATATTGTCATTTATCAGATGAAAATGCAGTGAATTTATGCTGAATTAAGAAACTCACTCATACTATATATATGATTCGATTGAACTGACTCATAATTCTAAGCTAACGCTTAATTCAAGTATCTCATATGAGAGTTTCAAGTTAAGACTTAATTAATACAGGCGTCAGGGATAGATATAAATTTCTCGACTGTATCGCGATCATATAGATAGCGTCGCACGTATCATGACTCAATGAAAAAACTCTGATCTGACTAGCTATTTAAAAATTTAATATTTCACTTGAAACTTATCTCATGTGATGCTTCAATTTCGATTGAAAGTTAGAACCAAATTCTTCAAACTCAGTTGAATCTCACATATACACACACACACACACACACATAATATATATAAAAATATATGTCATTCAATTCAATTGAACAACTCAGATTCGACTCTCCATTAAAATTGTAGTGTTTCTACACAATTTCAGGATAGATAAGTTTCAGGAAAGTGACAACTCTTAATACGCATCTAAGAAAAACTTTCCAGCTTTTCCAATTTCGATCCGTAAACTTCTCGACCAAATGTTTCAGTTATGACGAAATTCTGAGATTGTGGGACAAAAGGAACCTCAAACGACCAATGTCGGAAACTGATCTCCGCGGCGGAATCTGGCGCTTAAAATGGCATCCCTTTTCGCGCCGTTACTTACTCGCCGCTTGCATGTACGGCGGCTTTAAGATCGTCGACTGCGGCAACGAGGAATCGCCGACAATCGTTAGCGAATACAACGAGCACGAGAGCATATCGTACGGTTGCGACTGGTCATACTTGGAGAAGCAGAACGTATCCGTTTTAAATATACGCGATCCTGATAGCAAAATTGGCGCTTTGATTGGCACTTGTTCTTTCTACGATCACGCTTTAAAGGTGTCCGTAATTTATTCGCAGGACAAGGACTGGCCTCTTTGCGGATGAAAGAGGGACCAGTCCCCTTACAGAGAAGCATCATTGGCTGTGATAAATTGGCCAATGATAAATTATTGTTGCTTAATAACTTGATACTTCTATGAGCAATAAAATTGCTGAGATAGCAATTTCTCGGGAAAAAAGACTGTACATTTTACACGAATTTTCTCCATGTATGGTTATCTACACCGACAGGATGTCCGGGATCTTTTGGAAACAAAAAAAATTTGTGAGGATTAATCAGATCAAACTGAGAAGAAAAGTTACGTACCATTTTGCAAAAATCGCAACAGTTGTTAAGTTATTAATGATTGAAAATGACTAAAGGTTCTTTTAATCGATAACTTGAAAATTTGCATACTTATTTGTAAAGTGGTAAAGAACTTTTTTGTTCAGAATGATCTAATCTACAATTTTATGACGGCTATTGTGCCTAGCGACAGATTCAAGATTCAGAGTCCAAAGTTCAATATATTCGTATTTATCGCTAGACAAAATAGCAGTAATTATAGATTAGATCATTCTGAACAAAAAAGTCCTTTACCATTTTGCAAATAAGTATGAAGATTTTCAAGTTATCAATTAAAAGAGCTTCTAGATGCAGTAATTTTCAATCATTAATAACTTAATAACTACGCAAATAGACATTTTGGCAATAGCATGCATGCATTCAATATATATTTTATGATACCATTGAAGCGGCATAACATGTTTATAATATGCTTGCTGTAAGAAATATGTATTTATTATTCTTTACTTTAGAACGAAATATCAGTTTGTAATGCTAATTAATTGCGTCTTGCTGACAATTGTGGCATATGCCGCATGTCCATAGAATCAGATTGCTTCTTTGCATGCTACTAAAATGTTTCCTGTATAAAGACGCGTCTTTATGTATTTATGCTATTTTAATTCTCGAATTCAGTCTCTATGCAGACAGTCTGCCAAAATTTGTCTATCTGGATAATAACTTAATAACTTGCGATTTCTACAAAAGTACATGACTTTTCTTCTCAGTTTGATCCGATTAATCTTCAAAATTTTTCGTTTCCAAGAGATTCCGGACACCCTGTATATAACAAAATATATATGTATATAGACAATATTATAAATTTATTATATATAAATATATATTACTTATTAAATTAATTATAAATATATAGGACAAAATGCGTGTAATTTATATATAATTATATATCATTTTTCTATTCCCAGGCAATTATCATTGGCAAATTTATTACAGCCAGTAATACTTCTCTATAAGGGTCATTTATTGCTTCACCGTGTGTACATAGAGATTTTACAGAGCAACAAGATTTTTATAATAAAATAAAGATGATATATTTCCGAGAGTACATTTTGAAACTTACGCGAAAGTCACATGCGCTCATCGATCTGCCGTAATTTCCACACGCAATTCCTCCGAATCGGCCGTCTTCTATCAACAGTTTTTTTTTCACTACCTCGACGTTCCTCTCGCGGTTCGAGGCCTCGGCCGCGAGATGGCGAGTCGAGCGCGGCGCGAGCCGCATTTCACCGCGGACGGTTCGATAAAAATCAGTCGTCGCTCAGCCGCTTCGTAGAGGGTTATTTTGGCCGTTTTCATCGCGTCCGGTTTCGCGAGCCGTATCGTGAGACGATCGTGACTTCAGTGAATGACTCGTGCGGATCAGCGCAACGGTGAACCTGGAGAGACGGTGAGTAAACCGAGCGGAGCGCGACGCTCCGGGTCACCCGCACCCTTGACGACGAAGATGAGCAGGAAGAGAGGACAAGGCGAAGGCGGACGAGGAGGAGAAGGAGAAGGAACAGGCGGCGGCTCGTACGTCTTACTCGGCGATCCAGGACGTGCCAGGATCAGCTGGTGGCTGCGCGACGCGGCGCGCTCCCGCGCGCGTCCTGTCGCCGCGGAGTGACCCAGAAGCGATCTGGCGCGTACCGAGGCACCGCCACGGCTCGGAAAGCCGTTCAAACTTTCGAACTGAGGTTAGAAGAGCGCGAACGATGCGCTTCTCCTCGACGTCTCCTCCGCCGAAGCTGAATGCCTCCGCGACCTTCTTGAGTCCCGGAGGAACGAGAAACCTCGGCGCGACGTTTCACCGCTCGAATACGCCAGGCCAGGTTCTCCCGGGGGAGCGTCGCGTGAGACAGAGAGAGCGAGAGAGAGAGACAGACTGCACTTTAGCATGACATAATTTCGCGCGGTCTGCTGGTGTCGATCTCCGCTGTGCATGAAGGTGATTCGGTCGCTTGCTCACGGCCAAGGAACGCAAACAGTTGCAGCAATATTGCTGCAACGTTGCGGCAATGTTGTTGCAACGTTGCGGCAATGTTGCTGTATGGGAGGATTCCGAAGGCGAGGAGACGCTGGATTTTGGAACCGATGATGCACTTTGCAGGATAACTGTACCCCGGACGACCTGTTCCTCTTGACGTTTCGTCAAGTCGAATGTAAGGCCGAGAGAAAGACTGAGATTCCTTCGGTCGCGCGCGAAAAAGCCCGGACAAACTTACGGTTTTGCGTTCCCCGAAGAAACGGTCCGAGGTATGCCGAGGTGCAGCCGCATTTTCCCGCGTCGGGAAGACCTCTTCGCGAAGCGCAAGGACCTTGCGATATTAATCGCAAGGCCGATTTGCACGTCATAATTTCGCCAGAAAACCCATCGCGACGGTCCCTCGCGCGCCGTGTCCTCCGAGCTCGCCAAGGTCGCGGATTGAATTCCCGCGCTCCGCTGTGGGTCTCGTATCGTCGCCGAAGCAAAGAAATCCCAATTTTTCGAGGGATCAGCGGGCGAAGCTGCGCTCGTCATCCTTCAACCCCGACGGAACGTTGATGCGTTTGAACCCGAGTTCAAGTACAACTTCCGATGTCCGAAGGTGCGTGCTTGCGTGCGTGTGAATTCGGTCTGGGTCCAACGGACCCCACAGTCTAGTGCTCTAGAATTAATTTCCGCCGTGTATGTATGTGTTGGCGTGTGTGTGTGTGTGTGTGCGCGTCGAAGCGAGCCGCGCTGGACGTAGCGATTTATTCTCGATTACCTCGTTACAACGCGATCCCTGCTGGACGATGACGGACTTGGTACGCGAATCAGGAATGCGAAGAAAAAGAGCGAGAGAGAGGGAGGAAGGGGCAGAAGGGGAACGAGAAAGAAAGAGAGAGAGAGAGAGACGTGTCGGTGTCGCTTCGGCAGGGGCGTTGTCCTCCTTCGTTATCGGTTGCATGTCCGGTGACCGTTCCTCGCCCCGTGCGTTCTTGAAAAAGGAGCAAAAACAGAAAAAAAAGAGAGTCAAGAATCCGACCAGAGGATAAGAGCGTGAGTATGCATGGTGCGTGTGTGCATCAGCTCTCAACGCTCCTGGGGGGACATGATGGTATCTCTCGGGTGGATCTCGATTGAAACGATGCCGTTTTCCGACGGTTGTCTCATTACTCGGGCACTCGAATTGTTTCCGAATCACGACCGGAAAGACCCCGACAGCTCGCAAACGAGCTGGGAATATTAAATCCGATCCGCGGCAGAAAAAGATCATATATGTATACAGAGTATCCAAGATCTTTTGGAAACGAAAAATTGTGAAGATTAATTGGATCAAACTAAAAAGGAAAGTTAAGTACCATTTTGTAAAATCACAATAGTTAAATAATTATTAAGATATTAATGATTGAAAATATTGTTACAATAGTGCCCCAACTTTTGTTCACTTATCGACTTTCGGAAATTTCAAAATTATCAAATTAACGAAAAATTGCGAAGATTAATCGGATCAAAATTAGAAAAAAAGTCAAGTGCCACTTTGCAAAAATCGCTATAGTTATTAAGTTACTAATGATTAAAAATGACCACATCTGGAGGCTGTCTCAATTGATAACTTGAAAATTTATTTGCAAAATGGTAAAGGATTTTTTGGTTCAGAATGACTTGATCTACAATTATATGATGGCTATTGTGTTCAGCAATAGGTTCAGAGTTTAAAATTCAATATACTCATATTTATCGCTAGACGTGACTTTTCTTTTCAGTTGGATCTGATTAATTTTCACAATTTTTCGTTTCCAAAAAATCCCGGACATCCTGTGTATACAAAATGTATAAAAAGTACTGGAACGGCGAAATATTTCGAAAATTAAGCATTTTAGAAGAAAATGTTTTAGATAAAAGTTGTATGGTTTCAATGGGGACATAAAACAATTATATCATTTTGTTTATAGATGGCGTTACTTTCGAGATGTTTATTGATTATTACTTTTCTTAAATAGAAATTTCAATTTTTATATCAATTATATTATCTTTTTCTACCAATTAATTTTAACAACTTTCGTCTGAAATATTTTTTATTTGCCTAATATTTTTTTAAGATATTGAAGAAAAACTTGATAATTTTTTCAATATTTAATTTACGATATCTCACTAACTAACTTTATCGGGAGAAAAAATAGTATTAAATTTTTTTACTCTATTTGATCTCAAAAATATATTATTATTTTTATTAACTTATCGACTTTCGGAAATTTCAAAATCAAATTAATAAAAATCAGGATGTTATTGTAACAATATATTCTTGAGACTAAATAGAGTATAAAAGTTTGGTTCATTTTTTCTTCCGACAAATAATTAGCGAGATACCGTAAGTTAAATGTTGAGAAAGATACCAAATTTTTCTTAAATATCTCAAAAAATATTAGGTAAATAAAAAATGTTTCAGACAAAAATTGTTCAAATTAATTGGTAGAAAAAGATGATATAATAAAAAATGGGGATTTCCATTTAAGAAAAGTAATGATTAATGAACATCTCAAAAGTGCCGTTATCTGTAAACAAAATGATATAGTCATTTTATGTCCTCTTTGAAACTATGCAACTTTTGTCTGAAACGTTTCTTAGTATCTTCTATATTTTTCGAGATTTTTACCTGGCTGATTTAAAATGAGACATCCTGTATTTATACATATATGATTTTTTATCGAGTCGGAATAAAATAAAGATCAACGAAAAGTTATTTTATTTTTACACTTAGACGTTAAACTTTTAGACATTCTTCGATTCCGAAAATGAAATAAAATTAGATTATGATCTTATTTAATTTTCAGACTGCGATAAAATCGTAATCAACAATTTGTGTCAAGTCAAGACATATGAAAAAAAGTTAAACAATAAGACGTAAATAGTAGGTAAATAAATTAACCGGCCAGTTGAGTATTTTTGGGTTATAAGAAGAATAATCAACTTTGGTTAATCAATTTCCTTACTTCTTACATCTTACTGCTGAAGTTTTCTCGTGTATACGAGGCCATAGGGATCACCTCTCTACCAACTTCAGTTAAACTAACCGTTTTAGCAACCTTGCAGGATTCTGACTGAAGCCGCTGTGAGAAGGAATAGAAAATGAGCAGCAACTTTAGTTGAGAACCTGTAAGGTTGCCAAAACAAATGATTCTGATCGGAGCTTGGTTGGAAAAGTGGTTCTTATTTTCTTTTATTTTTTTTGCACGAGCGATTCCAATCTAAGACGCCCAATTCCGACCATTTCTCTTGTTTAATTCACTAACTGAAACGCGCGGAAAGCCAGTCACGTTCGGAATCTAAAGCAACACAAATGCAACACAGACAAAATCGCGCTCGGTTTCACCATAGCTGCTCTAGCCGTCAATCGATGGATTGCTATATTCCCGTAACGACCATGCGTAAAAACTGATTGGTGTCACGCGTGAAGGGTTGCGCAGGGCGGCACCATAGGGTGACGTAAGGTCGAATGAAGACGCGAGACTTGCGCTCATTTGCCATCCACTCTTTCCGACTGCACTCGTAGCTTCTCTCGCGACTTCAGAGAGATTAATTGCGAAAGAATTGTCGCTGTGCGACAATTCTTATAGCTAGCCATACATCGTGAAAACCAAAGTGTCGCACATCGCGACGCACTGGCGACATGCGAAAAATATCCGTCCAACGGCGGTGGGAATTCAGCGGACGAAGCTCGCAGTGATGCATAGCGTAAGAAACTACCCCGATATTCTCCCTAGATGAGGCTGGGACTGGTTATAATAAGAATAGGTTGTGACGATGTTTCTTGAGGTTCGTGAAGGGATAGAGAGGGGAAAATATTTTGATTCTTTGTGTGGCAGTACATCTTTTTCTAACTGACGGATTTCTGCGAAATCTTGCATTTCTATGTTTCCGGGTCACTGATTACAAATCTAAAGTCAAATTTCAATGATTTAAAGTGGCAGACCCAATATAGCTGCCATATAAAGATAAATTAGTATAAATCTGAATAAATATAAATCGGATATACCATATAAAGGTCTTCCACAGATCGTTAATTACGAATTTTATGTCAGATATACAAAATTCAAAATGGCAGATCCAATATGGCCGCTATATAGGAGTAAAACCATAAAAATATATAAATATGCTAAAAATATAAGTTACGTGAATTTTATAGATTATTACGAATTTGCCCTCAAATTCGAAAAATTTGATTAATTGAACCAATATGGATCCTATAAAAGAGGAGATTTATGAAGTGTGCATCATATATGCGGAAAACACTTTATAACAATGTCGAAATTGCATCTTCAAAACTCTTTTATAAATTTTCTTTTTCTTTGGGTCATCCAGAAGTATTAGAAACATGCGAAAGTTTCCATCGTTTCTAAGGCAATGTTTTTTATTAATATTATTATAAATGACATAGTATC